GGGGGCCGGGCGAGGGAGGAGAGGGGGGGGGGGGGGGGGGAGGGGGGGCAGGGGCGGGGGCGGGGGGGCTCGAGAACAAAATAAATGCTTGTGCAGTGAAGGCACTTTAAGTCAAAAGTCATCATCCTGTCACTGAGGGGGAAAAACTTTTGGGAAAGCACTGTGCAGTAGAACGTACTGTTGTAGTATGGGACCTGAGGACAGGGGTGCCCAACCCCTGGTCTGGGGCCCAGTACCAGTCTATGGATCATTTTGTACTAGGCCGCAGTTTTGTTGTTTCATTGTTATTTTTTAAATTCTACACTTCCTAACAATCCTGCCATGATTGACCAGTGCTACTAGTCAGGTGTAGCAAACATGCTAAATATTAGGGACCGATGCCTTAGGATATCAGGTACAGGCTAATTAGCCATTTAGCTTGTAAGAGTTGAGTTTGATGCTGAATGCAGTAACCCCTATACCAGCAAAGACACATCATAAAAGTAAAACTCTTAAGACGAAAAAGTATAGAGGTGAGTTTTTGAGCTGCATCATCTCTCTGTCTATCAAAATAAATAAAGGCGACATTTATCTTATCTCTTCAGTTAGAGTTTTTGCAGTTTCCCCCTCTGAGGTCAGTGCAGTGCAAATGACCAGCGAAGAAGCAGAAGATGGAGGCAATTGATTAATCAATAACAAGCCATCTTCCCAGACTGATGATCGACTGCTGCGGCTCAGCTGCTTCAGCCTGTTAGTACTATAAATACCACAGATGTGACATTGACCTAATACCCGTGTCTCACAGAAACAGCGCAGGTTAAAGCTGTTACCTTAGGAGGAGTTCAAGTTGTGAGTACAGGAAGCGGAGCAGGGCTCTGCGGGCCGTTACTTCGGCGTGACAGTCGTTGACCGCCTGTCCCTGGTCACTCAGGTACTCGCCGTTTATACACTTGGTGCCCGTGGATAAGGCCACCACCTGGGCGTGCCTGAGGTCCAGCCCTGTGACACAAGAAGAAATACAACTGGTTAATGTTAATGCAACTACAGCACCAGAAAAGAACATGGTAGCTTGTTAGCTGCAGGCTGGATGGACAGATGGATGGATGGATGGATGGATAGATAGAAGCTATAGTGAATGGGTCCACATTCAGTCCGATGTTTGTTTAGGTCATAATTTCAAATAAACAGTCTCATTTTCCCCACACACAAGTATTTATATATTCACAAGTCATATTCATCAAGTGTTTTGAGAACTGACTGATGGTTCACCTCTGTTTCTTGGGCATCATTTTTGAGAGAGGATCAATACATGTAATTTTCTCTAAAGAAAATCATGCCTCTGGCTGTCTGTAGTAGTAATAATAATAATAATAAAAGAAGTCTAAAAGAAAAGAAAGTTGAGGACGAGGTCATTCTTGATATTGGCTAAAGTCCATATCCACACGTCTCTCACCAGGGTGAGTAAGCATCTCTGTCAGAGTCCACTATCACACCACACCAGTCAGGATTAGCTGGCTCCCCTCCACTTATGGACTGAAATCACATCGCACCCTCTCTTTCAGGAGCCTCTGTGTATCACTCTGGAGAGGACCGAGTCGAAAACCAGTTAAAGAAACGCAGTGCACTTGTTGTGAACAAGCATAGCAGAAACTCCGCCGCCTGTGACTTGATTTACAGGTGCTGGAGCCGATGTAGCGTCCACATCGGTGGTTGCAAATGTTACAGTATTTTATCAGCAGTGACAGTTGCCTGTGACGTTTTGCGTCACCTGAGGCTACATCAGGACATCACTGCGTGGAATGTTGCGTGTTGATTGGCTGTAAAGAGTCCAATGACGATGAAGTGGTATTTACTTGGAAAGCAGAGTATGTGTGAGCAATTAACCTGTCCACGTAACGAAGGGGTTCAAATTATATCAGGTTCTCAATAGTATTTTAATAATAATAATAGGTCCTAACAGGCCTTAATGTCTACAGTCATTCCTCTGTGAATGAATAGAAATAATTCAACTAATTATGAACACATTAGTGTTATTAAAAAAAAACAACAAAAAAACAAGAATGCACTGTGTTAAACCATGTTGTTCAATAAAAAAGGTAAAAAAAAAAAAAAAACAAGAATGCATTGTGTTAAACCATGTTGTTCAATAATAAAGAGTCCAGTGTTGGTTGACTAAAGGTTTCAGGCACAGTTTGTTTGTTGACAGTCGACTCGTTGGTGTGTAGTCACCAGTCCAGGACACTCTGTCAGTCTGTCAATCAAGTCACCACACCAACATGGACCTCGGTGATCCCCTAATCTGACACAGTGACCAGTGCACCAGTCCAACTGTGGGCAATGAGACAAAGGGAGAGAGACCACAGATCACAAATCATCCTGTCTTTCTTTTTCTCTTTTTTTTTTTTTCACTGGATTGAGGGCCAGTGCTTGGTCATGTGACAGCCTGTTTGACTGACAGGCAGACATGGGTTGGGGCTGTGTGGATCGGCAAGTTAACTGAATGCCATTCCTTCCTTCCTAGCTGCAACAAATCTCTCCCATCTTCTCGGAAAGTCAGGCGTCGCTGGCTGCTGGCAGACCTGCAGGCACCGCCGGGCGGCACAGGAGCTTTTATCTGCCTCAGCCCAGATGGCACTGTGGCAGGAGAGTCTTGACAAGCGAAGGAGGGCAGGGGAGGCAGAATCTGAGGTAATGTGGTGTGGTAGGGAGGAAAACGCAATTCACATGGAGGAAAAATAGGAAGTCTGAAGTGGGTGGAACCGAAAAGTGAAGAGAAAATGAAAGGTTCATCATGACTATATCATATTGTCTCCTCGCAAGTAAAGACTTTTATTAATTCACGTTCATTTGCGAATGGAACAAAAAAAAACAATATATGTCTGATAGACATACAAAATTCACACGGTAATGAATCTGCAATATGACCGTACAGAAAACATTTATTACTTATAGCAGTGTAGCGCCACAGTACTGTTTACATCGCGAGTTCAACAGCTGCCACTGCCTGTAAGCAGCACACAGCCATTCCTCCTGCGTGATAGGGCGAGTTCAAAAAGGTAACAGACTCTCCCAATTTCATTTTCCTGCTTTTCCGTGCCGTTCCACTTTGCGATTGTTTAGATCAATTTTGCAGTGGATAATTTCTGCTGCGCTCCTCGCTACCCTGCCATGAAATTGGCACCGAGGTTGCCTTCAGTTTGCCGGAGAGAGGAGGACAGGAGATGAATGAAAGAGAGCGCAGTCACACCCAGAGGCACTATTCTGTTTTTAAAAACTAGGAATAATCAGAGGCATCGCAAGAAATACAAAAAAAAAAAAAAAAAGAGAAGAAGAAAGGGTCAGAGGTAGAGTCGAGTCAAAAGCCTGCAGCGCTCTTCACTCTTCGCACAGATACATGCATTTGAAGACTGGGAATGTAACATTATCAAGGAGCAACTGCTTCCTTATTGTTAGCAGGCTAACTGGAAGACACACCAGAAGGGGGGGGGGTGGTCACACTGAGGTCAGCTGTTGGTCAGGAAGTCAGAAAGTTGGACATTCAATTACTTACTTTTCCAGTCTGTATGTCCGAGGGATTTTGGACAAGGAAGTGAAATCTATGTCTGTACCACCAACGTGGGAGTAGGTAATGTACAGAATCCAATCAGGGAAAGTCTTCAGTAGTCGACAAAAATCTTTAGACCACAGGACGTGTCAGCCAGATGATGCTAACAGTACTGTTTCAACCCTTCAGTGATAGCAGATCCAGATAAAATACTTTCAGTTAAATCAATTTCCAAGTTGAAAACAAACAAGAACAACAACAATAGATGTAGTAATAATTCCAAAGCACTCATATTTTTTAAATACATTTTTTTTTCTGCCACTGAATAATGTTCACAACCAAAAGCACTCATATTTTTTAAATACATTTGTTCACAACCGCTGCAACAGTCAGTGATTTTTGCAGTTCTGGACCAGACCTAAGGCAAACTACGGCCCGTGGACCAAATATGGCTCGCAGAGCTTTCTAATCCGGCCAGCTAAACACTGGTAAAAGGTACGGTAATGACTGATGTCAAGGCTTCTGTTACATGCATTATAACAAATCGACTGTAATTTCTGTAGATGCCACTAGATGGCAGCAGATATCAAATGTGCCAAATTATCTTTCAAAGTTTATTCTTGTACATTTTATTTAAATTATTTCACAGGGCATACTACAATCAACCAATACTGAACCGGCCCGCCAGTCAAGTTTTGAACCACATTTTGGTCCGTGAGCCACACATTTGTCGGACCCTGCCCTGGACAGTTGGCTTTTCAGTTCAGTTCAGTTCAAACATTCAATGACTACTATGAAAAAAAAATCACAATACTAGACGAGATTTTAATTCTCAAATAAGAGTAACATTTGGGTTCTAGTCATTATGTACAAGTAATAAAGCTTTTTTTTTTTTTTTTAACAAAAGCTGCAGCTTACAGTGCACTCTTTTCTGCACTTTGCATTTGTGCTCAATGGAGCTTCACTTCTACCCCAGCACAACGGTTCACAACTCGTATCCTCGCAATATGGTCATGCCACCAGGCTTAATCACACCATGTTACACAACACTGCAGCAAACTGTGAGACAGACGGTTATGCTGTGAAATCAGACAACAGAGCTAGAGACCGATTTTCTTTATAAGAAGGCCGACCTATACTTTCCACCCACGACTACCAAACTCAGATAGAGGATTTGATCAGAAGTAAGAAAAAACAAAGGGCCAAAAAAGAGGTCAGCCAACATCGTTAACTCTTTGTCTGAATGGTCCTGGAAGGCATTTAGCATTTAGCTCTTTATTGGTCAATCTGGTCGGCGCATAAACATGCAGATTTGGTGCACTCAATATCAGGTAGCAGCATTGCTAATGTGGTAGCTAGCATACTCTCTCCTGGTCTAAACTAGAGATAGCTCGATGCAACTTTTTCATGTCCTATACTGATACTGCAACTTGAAGTATCAGCAGATACTGATATCAATCCGACACCATCTTTTCTGCTACAGCTTCCGTTGCTAAGGCTATAGCGTCCCTTTTTACAGCATGTCGCGCAAAGCTAAGTGGCGCATTTGTGCTTAGGTATCGGACTGGACTGGCTCTAGTTGGTTTTTTTCGATGTTTGATCCTGACATTTTGACCAATATCGGACCAGTAATGGTTCTGAGTATGATATTGTTCCATCCCTGGTCTAAACCAAACTAAAAAAAATCTAAACTAGATGCCCTGCGACCTCGTTCGGTGACCCATATTATCTGACCTAAATATCTTTATTCTATATTGTATTGCTGGGGATCAGGTCACCATACTTTATCAGACATTTCTACTAAATAGAATGAATGAGTATTACATTTTCATGTTGCTTTACTACTTTTCAAGTACTGTATTATTTATGTGAATTTAAAAAGAAAATCAACCGAAATCATTTTTTAAACATTGGGCTTTACGTGAGACCGTGACCAACTGACAAGAATTTATTAGCAATTCCTGAAGGATTAATTATGAAGAGAATTTAAAACTATGAAAACGTCCATATATAATCTGTATAAATAACATGACCATGAACTTTAGCTTAATCCATTACCACACAAGGTAACTGCATCGAACAGATGCCAGTGAGCTATTCTCTGAATCCCTTTATTCTCACTGGTTATACAACAGGGGGAAATGTTTCCTAATAAGCCACCCATTATCTCCGAGCACCATAAAGCAGACATTAAAACATTTTCTTCTGAAGCAGAATGGGCTCTGAAGGTCAACTTTTAGTAAACTCATTTATATGCCATTTACGTTGAGCTCCATGAATCCTATCTTTCATGTGCTTTTCCATCGCGAGATATTTGGAAGATTACACTGAATGTCATCCGGCGTGTCATTTGAATCCCAGTTAAATCTCACAGAAAATGTTCGGCACTTTCAGACAGAGACAGGGAAAGAAAAACATCTCGGCGTGGTTAGAGAACGTTTCTCGTTGAATCTCGTTGGTTAGAGAACGTTTCTCGTTGAATCTTTGTAAGCATTGACGGGAAACTGCTCTCAACATATCAGGGATTATTCGTGATATGCCTGTATCACAACACACACACACAGCATAATCTGTTTTGGTTGTCTAGTTAACCCCCGCAAGCTGTTTGTTGACAAATGTGATCATTAGAATTACACTTTTTACTCACCAGATGAATCAGAAATCTCTATTTGAAAATTACACACACACACACACAAATCTTGACCTGCTGCGCACTCTCTGCAATAACTCCACATCTACCAAGGTGGGACCAGCCCCACTTCCTGTGTAGACTTTGTTTTATGTGTTCTACCTGTACATTTTCTCTGGATTCTCTGTTTTTCCCCACAGCCAATAAACATGAAGATTAAGTTAATTGGACCCCCTTTATTGACCATAGGTATGAGCGTGAGATTGAATGGTTGTTTGTCTATTTATGTTGCCCTGCGATGGACCTCACTAAATGACTGCTGGGATCGGCTCCAGCCCCCTGACCCTGAAAAAGATTGAGGTGTAGCAGATAAATAAATGAAGGAAGATGGACGAATGAAACCTTCACTCTCGTTGCTTTCTCCCAGTGGTGGTTCTCTTCACATAAGAGTTCAAATATAATAAAAGCCTAGAAAGAAATTGGTTTAACCATCGTGTACGATAAGATAGGAAGATATAGAGGAGGTGAGGGGGTCTTTTGTGCGCAGACGTCCGATTCTTCAAGTCTCTGCTGAACTTAGTTAACCATCTCCGGCCGCCCGTTGCCGTCTCAGGCTGATTGGACTCAGATTTGGAAGGATATTTTTGACAAAGTGATCTGTGACTACGGCTCTGGTGGTGAAGCTATTCCGTCTCAGGTGGGGTGTCTCAGTGGGACTCCAGCACGACCAAGCCCAGATAAGGGATATAGATGTGAAAGAAGGCAAGGAGAAGATGATGATAATGATGATGGTTCCTCTCTGTCCCCAAAGCAGAGCCTGAGCATGACTCTGAAGGCCAGAGCTGAGGCCTGAAACCCAAACTGGGTGAAGTCAATTTTAGCTGACACTTTGATCAACTTGACTTAATTGTCAATTTCTGTTGTCTGACTACAGTGATGCCAGACATGGCCACACCACCACCACCACCACGGCGGCGGCGGCTGCTGATGCTGCAGCCA